GGATACTCCCACTGGGTTTAAATCTGGGACTCTCCGCCTTTTGACCTTAGAACTGAAGAAGCTTCTCGGATGAGAGATGAAACGTCTTCAAGCAACTTAAAGAAGTCCAGACGCTTTTCTTTGCAAGCTCCTTTGACTACGATGACCTGGATGACTGAGAACCTTCACAGACATATTGCATTGTAAACCAAAATCTGATGATGCTTTTATGTGTATATAATTTCATCGATTTTGACCATATCTTCAGTACCCCTAACTGAAATGCAACACCAAACCATGACAGAGCCTCCGTTATGTTTTACAGATGTCTGTAAAGACTCACGGTTGTCCCTCTCTCCTGACCTCTCCTGTACATACTAATGAACCACAAATTTCACATTTGGATTCATTACTCTGTAAGACCTGTAGCCACTGATTTCCAGTCCAGGTTTTGTGTAATCTGGCATATCTTATCCTTTTGTTCCTTAAGAATGGCTTCTTGATACTCACTCTTCCACAAAGACCATTTCTGATGAGGCTTCAATGAAAGGTAGATGGATCAAGTTAAGGGCCGGATGCACCTCTTAGGTCCTGTGTCAGATCTTTGCTGGATTTTTTCCAATTTCTTAAGTACATGACTTTCAGATGCTGTTCATTTGCTGTATGTAGCTTTTTGGGCTGTTTTTTTTTTTTCTTTTGTCCTCCATTTTTCCAATTTCCTCACATTTTTTTAAGGACATGCTGCAATGCTGAGACACACTGCTGGTAACAAAGTGACTAAAAATGCAGTTTAAAAATCGTTTGTCATTTGTAACAACACGGGTTCAGCCCTTGTTAGGCGCCTGGTGCTTAAACGATTCATAGGTCAGTGTGGCTTAAAAAAACATTTCTCTGAAAATGGCCAGGTACTGGACTGAAGTGAAAAAGAATACACGGAGAACTATTCCTCAAAGCTACTTAAAGAACAATATGAAGAAATGAGGGGTGGCACAACACTTTTGGACAATACTGTATGCTGTGGCATGTCACAGTAGGAAAACGACAGGTGTAAATAACAAAATTATATAATGAGTGACACTTTTTATGCATAATTATCAAAAAATCCTATTTCAGGAGTGAAATAAAAATAACTAAATTCTGAGTTTTATTACAATTATTGAAACAATCATTGATTAAAGAAAAGGTTATCTCATCTACTGAAGTGTTATGATCATCCCCTGAATAATATACTATTTCCAGTTGATGCATGGATGATGCACGATGCCTTCAAGTGTATTTTTCCTTTTATATCAGAAAAATGTAATAATATTGTCATGTTCTCTTTTTTTCTGTTAACCATCTATTACTACAAATTTCAGGCTGTAATCTTTTTTTTTTTTTAATATTTTGTAGATGCTTATTCTGACTTTTCTGTAATAAGGCGTCTTTTGCATTATTTCCACCACTAGGTGCTGCTGTAGTCCTACATTAAGGTTTTTAGTCTGCTACCCAGAGTTGATCCTCATAATAATACTCTACTAACCAGTGTTTAGGTTAAAATACTAGATGGTTAAGGTAGAGTCTGGCTCATAGTTTTGGTTTTGGATTTGCACATCTAGCCACCACAGCAAGGTTTTAGGTCAAATGAAAGGAGATGCTCAGTCTCAGCTCAACAATTGCATAAAGTGATCAATGTAGATGTGTAGCTGTGACACTTACCAGAGCTCTCTGACTGTGACAGTTCTGGCTCTGTGGCTCTACAGTGCATTACTCAGTCAGACCCTCAGTGCTCATCGATGCTTGGATCCCTTTTTAGCTCAGTAATGCTTCCCTTGAAGTGCTTTGATTTGACACTCTTTGCCTGTGTTTGGTCTAATGGAAGGTGTGAGGCGAGGGAAAATGCAGGAAAAGAGCGTCTTCAGTGTCTTCTGAATTATTTAATACTGTGCTATATCCATTGCTTTTTAAGTAACAAAGACAGCAAGAGATAAAAATTAATAATAAATCACTTTTTATTGCTGTACTTTCCTCTTTCAGATGATGGTCCAACCCCCTTTGGTTACTTGGAAGATGGTGAGTTTGGGATAAGTAGCTGTAGGAGTTCAACCAAAATAATGTTCTAAATTTGGAGGCACTATTTACACAGTGCAAGTATTGAGGTATTTATGTTCCTAATTCCAGTGAGAGCAGTCCCACGCTCAAAAAGTGAGAATGAGGTTGATTCAAGAGGCTGCTCGATGCCAGTGCCAATGCGGTCGTCTTCCCTCAAACCCTCTGCCAAAAGGTCAGCATCTTCCATCTGCCCCAGTCCAAAGCAAAGATGTTTGCTTTGATACTTAACACACAGCACAGTTCTGTTTGTGTTTGTTAGAAGAAGAAGCTGTTCACAATTCGGAATATTCAGATACTGAAATACTGAAATACTGCCTGTGTTTACCAGAGTTAGTAAGTGTAGATAAGCAGGGCTTACTGTAGTGGAGCAAAAAAGCTATTTATTCCCTGACTTTGAAAATCTGAGCATGCTTTGTTCCCATTGGCTTCCACCACTGTGTCCTCTAGTTTTTTGCTTGAAGTATGATTAGTGTCAACCTTCCACACCGCATGTCAGCACAGACAAAGGCCTGCCTCTGCGCTCACAGACGTGAGTGATGGAGTGATGAAGGCAGACAGGTGATAGAGGATAAAGTGTTGCCCACAAAAGCTGCAGATGACATGTTGAGGACTGACCTTCCTTGTTCCTTGGTGTTTGTGGATGAAGCCCTGCGCACCTAAATGCGTCGTTATCAGTGCTGCTGAAAGATCCCGCGTTGTTCTTGATGCTCATCAAAGAGAGCATGCTTTTTGTTTGCCCTATTTGTTTTTCTGAATAGTCATTTTATACTTGACTGTCTGTTAAGAAATTCTCCCAGGAAATGCTGCGCTCTGTTTTTTGTTACCAGGTCCAATCTAGTTTACCTAATCAAATTACTCATTTGGCTCAACTGTGAATTGGATTTTCTGTCCTATCATCATTAGACGCAGAGGAGGAGGACAGGGAGGCAGGCATAATGAGGGCGGACGTCATATATGAATCGTAAAAAAAAAGATATCTTAGCCTGTGCTGGTTGCTATGGAGACTACTTGATAAGGATTGGCTGTCTTCGATCTCACACCCCACCCTTCCCCAATTCCCGCCTCTCTTCACAGGAATGAGTGGGAGCCCCCAGATAAAAAGGTAGACACCAGGAAGTACCGTGCCGAGCCCAAGAGCATCTTTGAGTACGAGCCGGGGAAATCATCGGTGCTGAAGCTGGAGAGAACGGTATGCTAGCCTCCTGCCTGTTTCTCCCCCGCCCTCTCTCTTTCCCTTCCTCTCTCTGCCTTTGTGTTTTCATGTCGTGTGAGCTATTCCCCACTCCACCCATCATGCGACCCCCCC